AGTTACAAGACCATTCTTGGGCGTGGAAAGACATTGAAAATATTGTTGATTGATGCACAAATGTGTTCATCTGTTCATCTGATCAATTAGTTGTTATCAAACAAATGAGAATGCATTATTTCAATGTTAGGCAGTGCATGGTGTTATAATTAATTATAATATTGAACACTGCCCATTATTGGTTGATTTGTACATGTACCCATGTTGTCAGATAAGATTGTGTGTGACTCAGAAAAATCACCACATTTGTATGCAACAAACATGATTATTCCATGTTGAAATATCCTGGGCATTTTTATCTTGAAAATTAGCACGTTTTTGTAACTGAATACGAGAATATACAACACGCTAAACACTAAATAAGAGTACTAACCGTATCACACTGGGCAGGATTCAACATATGTGCTGGACTAGTCACTAGGCTAAGCATAGCATGGGCTCTCCATTCCGCTGCCGACAAGTTTCTTCTTGGGTAGATTTGTTGTAGTGACATGAGAGCAGTCATCAGCAGCTGTGGAAGAAAACACATCATACAATATTGATAGTCCAGTCATTGAAAATTCTGATTTCTGAACTCAATCTTTTATGTTGAGTAAATACCAATGCATATGTGTTATAGCTAGAATTAACAAATAAATAATTACAGTAACTGTAAACCGGTTAAGCTTCACTGCTAGAAATGTTCATCATCTCAAGATTTTGTGGAGACTTTTCAAAAATTCCCTGACACTCCATGTCCAGGGACATCAAAGGAATTTTCACTGTGACAAACTGACTCGTGTAAATTTGTTTGCAAAATTAAGCGCTTTACAGTAACAGCAAAACCCTGTTATCAAGAAGTGAGTCACATTTGTTTGTTCAAGTATATATCAGACAACTTGCGTTATAATAGTTTACTATAATCTAAATAAAAACTAACTATAGTAGATTGCACTATAATAAAAACTTGGAATTTGATCACTTCCCTAAACTGGTTGGAGTGTTCATGGTTTCTAAGGACAAAATCATCTAACACCCCTCACCAATACTAATATCCAATTGGTAATCAATATAACTCGCCTAGAATTACATTTTATGCATACTTAGGTCACATGACCCATGACATCCCATTTTACTTAAATTATTCATATTTCTAAAACTGACTCCTAAGTGTTACAAGCCAGTAGGCTGGTTGGCAATCCGCAATCAAGCAACATGTTTTTGGCTGTTTCCATGGTGTGACATAAACGTGAAGCTAACGTCGGTTTATAACTAAATGGGCTCTATACGAAGTTCGCAAAAGCCATTCAGTCTTTAGAAGTCACTTAGTTTATTACTAGGACGTATTCTGCTGTTACATTTATTAATTCCAACCGTTTTGCGATAGTATTTTCTAGAATGAAGGCAGCATTTACAGTTCATTCAATATTCAAAGTTGCGTTGGAATTACGTTGCTACAGTGTAACAATGTCGGCACCGGTGTTTTTACCAGTGCGCAACGTAGCCAAAATAAAAAGCATGATCATTTGAACACTGCTATTACAAAACTGGTAGGAGGTAATACATTTGGGGCGAAAGTATTCAAAAATCAGTTTTTGGATGTTGCAATGGCAGTGGTGGGCCAGGATTTTTTTCCAATTAGTGACGGCACGACCTACCTGTGAAGTATGAACAAAATCAGCCAAGCTGAAAAAATCACAGAGGAGTTAAAAGCCATTGCTGGTGAAAAGTTACCCCAACTTTGGGGTCAAATTTCTCGGTAATGAAAAAAGATATCAAAAATTCAAATATTAACTTTGTGCCCACACTCAAGCTGAGTAGAATGAGCTATGTCTGAAGTGTTTTATCCTAAATTTGTAGGAAGAGATACATTTGGCGCGAAGCTATCCAAAAATCAGTTTTTTTGCTGTTGCTATGGCAACGGTGAGCCAAAACAAATTTTCAGATTTTTCCTAATGACTAGGGTGAAGGTGTGACCTACCTGCCAAGTTTGAGAGAAATCGGTCAAGCCAAAAATATCACAGAAGAAATAATACGTGAAAACACTGGAAATCACACACACACACACACAGAAAACGACAAAAGTGAAGGACAATCCTAGCGGAGCAGATCGCCAATAATCTGATTTGGACTACATTTATCAGACACTAAAAATACTTATATTTTGGTGAAAGCATAATCAAAATAACATATCAGGTTACTACACTATTTAAATAACAAATCTTGGAGAGTAAATGAACATAGTCTAACATGAGGATTTTAATAGTAGAAATATTGTTATTGTTGTCGGTACAAACATTTCCAAACACATTGTCTGCTAGAGATTTTTTACACAATTTTTCATTTAGCCACAAACTGTCAACTAAAAGTAAGAATGCTATTCACCTGGAATCCATACTGATAAACAACATATTAAAGTTTGAAAAGAATCAAATAAAATAGAAACAAGTTTCTAAGTTACATTTTGACCAATATTTAAAAAAATAACATTGAACTTGCTTGACTTGACAACTTATCTAAATTTGAAACCAGTCAGATAAAAACATTTTGAGTTATTGTACCTGCAAGACAAGCAGCCTGTCGGCTGAGATAGCTCCGCTGTTGAAAATGAACAATATGTATAGTATCAAAGCAATCAGACTTGCAGTTTTCAACAAGAATTTGAAAATATCACTTTTTACCAAAAATGAAAAAAATATTCATCAAAATTAGAGAATTGATGATATCATCACGAAATGAACAAAGCTGACAGAGGACTACCCCAAGAATCTATGTTGCAAATATGAATACATTTGGTTTCACGGTTTTGAAGAAGAAGACAAAAAAGTAAAAAGTTGACGACAATCAGTAATATGAGCTCTGCGTCGTCGACTTAGTTGAAAGTGGAGCTAAAAAAAACTGCCAAACAACAAAAATGACATTTTTCCTCATATAACTTCCCTTCATTCACATTACGGGCAATATAGCAACAGCCAAGACAGAATTACCATAACATATAGGAATAATACAGTACTATCATGGCTTGCTTCATGTTAAATTGGTCTGTAATCCCTGATGATATTCTGGATATTAATTAGGAGTAACATGGGCTTAAGAAATGAATAAAACATTACTTACATTGCTGTGAGGGACAAACTCTTCACACAATTTCTTAAATGGATGTTCATATTCAATAATCATTTGGCCAAGTCTTGGAAAATTTGTATCACTGAAAATGAAGCAAATAAATTGAAAAGAATTCTGTCAGCAATACAATTATTTAACTACAGAAAAAGAATAATTTTCACTGGAAGTTTTGCCAGTAAAAATAATAAGTAATTTATGCATGTAATTCAGCTGATTTCACTTATCAGCAAAAATTGCAAAATTTAAACCTGGTCAATAATTGATGTGTTGTCACAGTAATACTGTTACCATATTTTAAGCGCACCCCAACTAGAATCACATTTAAGCAAAATATACTTGAGAGGCATTGATTTGATGTTTCCATAAATGCTTCCTAGTGTAAGTTATCGATGCAAGTCAGATTTAATATCTGCATGTTTGGCTTAATCGCAATTTCCAAAAGAGGAAATAAAGTACCGTAAAAACTCCAAAATTTCGACCAGTTTTAAATAATTGGTGTTGGAAATGTGACGTGTTTTTAGAGTCAAAATTAAGGTGCATTTTCGAACGGTCGAATTTTTCAGAATAGAAATCAGCAAATAAAAAAAATGGGGATGATAGACAGTGTGCTTCGTTAGTTTCACGGTAAAAGCAAAGGTCGTGGCCGAGTTGTAGGCTAAACAACTCAAAATCAAAACAAAGTCATCAATCAGTGAGTATTATGACAAGGAAAACAAAACATCAAGACGCGAAAAAGAGGTCAGCATAAAACTAATAGGTCAAAAGACAAAGCTGTCTCGCACTACATAGGAAAACTTGCGAATGTTCGAATTACAGGTACCCATTGGACAAAAGATACATGGAAGCACAGTCCCTCTAGAGGGACTGTGATGGAAGTTTAGCAAACTATCTCCCCGACCCAGTGCAATGTATCCGGTTAGAATCAAAGCTCACGTGTCCCTTATTTGAGGAACCAGATTCTGCCGTAAATTCGCCCTTGAATTAAAAAACAAAATGGGATTTAAGAAAATAAAATGGAACTTTTAAGGTGTAGTTTGGCATCATTTTTCGGACATTTCAATCATTCCTGCCGGCTAAAATAGAGTCTAAGTTTTACCGTAGTCATTGATGTCTATTCAAGAGTATGATTTTTATCGTGACTAGCATGAATGGGTAAGCTTCGTTTCGACAATGAGCTGTTATCACTGTAAACAATGTTAAATTATTCTTCAAATGCCCAGTTTATTTTTTAAAAACAACTAATTTTTTGATTTAAAAAAAAATCATGCCGTTTTCGCATCAAAATCCAAGCCAAAAGATCGTACGACAACATCAATCTCTTCCGCACTGCGTTCAATAACATTAACATATTTAAATAAGCTATGGTAATTTGAACACGTTGGCATCATCCAGCTTTTTGATTGGTTAATTAGCGATTTGACCTATTTGACCTAAGAGAACATGGCGGATATCCTACAGCATCAAACGTTTATATAAGACCGGAATCATTCGCTTACGATGAAACTAAGTTGACTTTTATTTGTATTTCATAATAATTCAACGAATTTATTTTGTGTACATTATTATAATCACTACTGAGTAATAATCAACAATTCAGAAATGCAGCATGACCGGATTTTGCAACCATGATCATTTGCTTCTATGTAGAAGATGTGTGTTGTGTTCGTTTTTATTTGAAAATTCGTTTAGAATATACTTTCGTTACCAATAAAATAAAAATCTCTCAGTCAATCAGAAACCCAGATTCATGCATTCGGGGAAAGTCCGGTTTGAACGCTCACATCGTGTTTTTTTTCGTTTGGTGGAAAACCCAAACTGGTCGAAATTTTTGAATAAGAATGAGTCAGCAATTTTCAGTGAAGTCGAAATTTTGGAGGAAAATTAAACACCGAAACCTGACAAATAACTAGGCGTTCGAATTTTTAGAGGGGTCGAAATTTTGGAGTTTTTACGGTACACACAATTGTACAAATAGTTTGTGGGCACATATGGGACTTAGAGTAGGAAACCCAACATCATTGCCAAGCTGACTTAATAACTGTGTGTCTTAGAATGTATTTTATGGCTGCATATACGGGTATGTAAATTAAATCAAAATCAAGATAAAAAGTTACTATTCTCAGAAGCAGACATCCAGGCCTGGCCTTTTCATTGCCTGGCTACTATCACAGTGAAAACAAAGGCTGATTACTTCATAGTTGAGTTTGCGCTGTTTCCTCGACTTTAGCTGTTTTCACCAGTGCTTCACCCTGCGTTTTAAGACATAGCTCCGTCCCCTCAAATTAGAAGAATGTTTTGAGAGTAACCCATTAGATGTTATCCGGTATCACTTGATCATGAATAACAATAGTTTCTGCAGTACCTTCAACATCATTTTCAGATGTGTAGTTGTCATATTGAAATATAAACTCCTCTTGAAACACAACTAACAATTATTAAC